AAAAGGGATTTCATATAACAAATCTCTCAACCAATTCGCTTCCTCACATGCTAAAGCTAACGTTATAAGTTCAACTTCCATAGTAGAATTAGCAATTATAGTCTTTTTTTTTTAGACTTCCAACATATAGCACCACTACCCAAGGTAAAAATAAAACCCGAGGTAGAGAGAGAACATCACTATATCCCTCAAGTACAACAAGATACTTGTTATAAAGCAAATCATAATTTTTTATACCAGATAAATATCTCATAATTCTTCCTATGGCTAATGATCTCGACTTGGCTTGCTAGTAAACCTGCTAAGTACTCCAACAGCATATGCAATGTCAGGTCTAGTACAGTCAGTAACATATATCAAACTACCAATCATGCTAGCATATTCCTTTTGATTAATCACTTCTTTTTCATTTGTTACAACAGATAAATGTATGCTTGCATCAAAAGGAGTAGCAACATGTTTACAGTCTAGAAAGTTATATTTCTTTAAAATTTTCTCAACATAATGCGATTGATCAAGAAAAATACCATCATTAGTCTTGGTAATTTTAATTCTCAAAATAAAATTGGTTTCACCAAGATCTTTCATATCAAATTGGCTATTAAGCATATTTTTAGTCTCATTTATAATATGCAAATTAGAGCCAAAGATAAGTAGATCATCCACATATAGGCTAATAATCACATGTGCATTCTCACAAGTTTTATAATATATGCACTTATCACATTCATTAATCTTATAGTCATTCTCAAGCATGCAGAAATCAAATTTCTCATGCCACTGTTTAGGAGCTTGTTTTAAATCATAAAGAGATTTAGTTAGCTTACACACCTTGTTTTCTTGGCCAGGCTCCACAAATCCTTTAGGTTGGTCCATGTAAATCTCCTCATCTAGATCTCCATTTAAAAATGTTGTTTTTACATCCATTTGATGAATTTTTAAATCATGAATTGCAGCCATTGCTATCAATAGTCTAATGGATGCAACTCTAGTAATCAGAGAAAAAGTATCAAAGAAATCTAGATCAACTTGTTGCTTAAAACCTTTAGCGACAAGTCTCGCTTTATATTTATCTATAGTTCCATCTGGTTTAAATTTTTTATGAAGGACCCATTTACACCCAATAGTTTTACAACCTGGAGATAAATCCACTAGCTTCCATGTTTTATTTGAAAGCAGTGAATCTATCTCATCATTTACAGCCTCTCTCCAGAAAATAGCATCAGGTGATGATGGAGTTTCTTGCACCGTAAAAGGAATTTCTTCCACATTGTAAAGATAATAGTCAGGGCCAAAATCTTTTTTTAACTCTAGCTCGTTTACTCCTCCTTGGTTGGATTTGAGAATTTTCTTGTTCTTCAAAAACTTGAGATGGAGTAGAAGAGTTAGGCACGTATAAAATATTTTCAAAAATTATTCGATCCGCACTATTTCTAGATTTGAAAGGAAATTTGTTTTCATGAAAATTAGAATCACCTGATTAAAAAATAATATTATTTTTCATATTAAAAACTCTATAAGCTGTACGATGCTACGCTTACCTAAGAAAAACACAGGTGGTAGCTCGTTTACCCAATTTAGATCGTTTAGGATCTGCAAGCCTCACAAAAGCTAAACAATCCCAAACCCTCAAATAACTTAGATTTGGTTTATGCCTCCGCCACAACTCATAAGATATAATTTTAGTCTTTTTGTGTGGTACTCTATTTATCACATGGCAAGCTGTCAAAATAGTCTCGCCCCAAAGATTTGAGGGAGCATCTGAATCAATAAGCATAGCATTCGTCAAGTCAATTAATATTCTATTTTTTCTTTCAGCTATGCCATTAGATAAAGGTGAATATGGTGGAGTAGTCTCATGAATAATTCCCAATGACTGAACAAAACAGTTGAATCCAAGAGATTTATACTCCCGACCTCTATCACTTCTAATTCTCTTAATTTTTTTACCAAATTGATTTTCCACTTCAAGAAGGAATTCTTTAAATTTCTCAAAAACATCACTTTTATTTTTTAATAAATATACATTTGTGTATTTTGAAAAATCATCAATAAAAGTGATAAAATATCAGTTACCACCCTGAGTTAAAATTCCTTCAAACTCACACAAATCAATATGAAATAATTCTAGCAATTCGGTATTCTTTTCAACACTTTTATGAGGCCTTTTGGTAATTTTTGCTTTACTGCAAACTTCACATTTCTCAAATTTTTTTTGTCACTTTAGGAATTAATCCTAAACTACTCATGATTCCCACATATTTACTGTTAATATGACACAAGCAAGCATGCCAAAAATTAATAGAAGACAGTGTAAGTGGTGTCATAGTAATAATCATAAAATTAATGAGTAAGAAAATTTAAGAGATAAAAATGACATTTATACTCATCTGTATTGTAGGAAGCCACTTTTGCTTTATGTGCCTCGTAGTCTTCATCATTCATCTCATTGGTTGAGATTTTGTTTGGGTTCTTCTCAGTAAGAACATATGCAACTTTCAAAAGATTGAGGTAAAAAAGAACTTTTCCTTTCTACCTCTTAAAATGAACTCCCTTGAACTTGAAAGACTTGTTGAGATCTTCAATTTCATCATTGGTTTTTTCTGGTACTTGTTCCATGATTGATCTCCTTAAAATTGTTAGTGAAAATACCAGAAAAAATTATATTTTATTGATAAATAATACAAAAAAAATGAGATACAAATAGATTAGGCTGAGGCATGAATATCTCGTTTTCTTTAAGGAGATCCAGCCCACTGCGGTAGGAAGAATCCAAATACCGATGCAGCAGTCGCAAAACTATGACTTGTCTCCTCTAAGATACAATAGCCCGACCACTTGTCGTATGGTTCATGCCAAATTTACATAAGATAGTGAACCCAAAGCTCCACCAAGAAAAACACTGTGACAACCTTGACCTATGATTAACTCTAATTCATGATTAAACATGCTAAGTAAATGATTAAGACGAAATCCTAAATTAATTACATGATTGTGTTGCTTTAAATGCATTTTTATTTGTTCGATGTAGAAAGATCTGTTCACGTTTTGATTTTGATTTGCGAATTGAAGGCCTTATCGGCATCCGATTCAAAAATTGACTTAATTTATGTGTTAATTAGAATTTTTAGAAATTTATGGTAAGTTTAATTAAAATTCGATTTGGAACGATTGAATTAGATTAAGTTAATGTCTACTTATTTGGCCTTAATTAATTACACCTGTCACGCCCCAAGCTCCGTGACAACGCCGCACACTCATTTAAGTGAGCATGCAAGGCTAAGAGTCCAACACATAACCAACAATGTAAAATACTCCAATTAATTCCTTAATTGTCATAATGCTAAAATCCATAAAAATTGATTATTCTTATCATATGAAATTATCCACCAAGTCCACTAATAAAATCCATTAACAAAACAATAATCCAAGTACTTAAATCATAGTCCTACTCTCGGCACTCCCACATGTAAAAATAATCTCGCGTAACTCTACTCTTCAGAATCTGAAAAAAAAATAAGGGTAAGCTAGATAGCCCAGTAAATAACCAACCATCACTGCTAGCTGGATCAAGTATACAAAAATAAATAAATAAATCGATAACCAATAAATATAATTTTTTTTCTACAGTTCAATAAATGAACAATTATTTGTAAGATGGTTTCATAGCTAAAAATAAACAATGTACAATACATTTTAAATGAAAAGCGAACAACATAATTCAAAGTAATTCGTTGTTCAAATCGATGGTTCGATATTCAGATGGTTCAATGATTTGATTCACAAAACCCAAGTCTTAATGACTACGGTCACTTAGCCCGTGACAAGGCACAGAACCACACATAGGCCGGTGGTAAAGCCCCAAAAGAAACTAGTTTCTGTGCCAATAAATAACCCCTATTGGCTAGGGTCCAAATCATAGTCAGACTAGAGTGATGTTCAAAATTCAAACAATACACAACTTTTAAATAAAATATTCGATATTTTTAGAATAAATATTTAGTACAATTTTCATAATAGTTCCACAAAATATTCAAATAATTTTCATAATAATTTTCGATGCTGTTTTATACTTGACCCCTATTTTATTTTAAGAGAACATGAAGGCTATGAATAAATACTTATAATTTTAAACGATTCAATAGGAATAAAAATGTACCAAAAGTGATAGAGGGTTACTTACATCAAACACTTAAAAATAATATTCCAACACTAACTCCAAACACTCAGCTCCACCACTTTAATCACACAAACCTAATAAACAAAACCTCAAATAAATTAATATTTTTACGTGTTACATGCACCCACAAAAGCCCTATCATATTAGATTAATGTATTGCTTTAATATCCAAGTGATCAAACCATTCAACCCAACTTTATAGCCAAACACACCCTTACCCATAATACAAAACTCCATTGATTCTATTACCCACCCAAAGGTACACTTACACATTGCACCCAATTCTCAAAACCTAAGTAGGCACCTAAAGATCAACCAAATTCCCTTAATACATTGATTGTTAAATTCCTCAACATAAACTTAACAATTAACCGTAAAGACAGATTTTACCTTAACCAATGGGTGTCCCAAAATCACCAACGTGCTACCTCCAATCCTTATTGCAGCCTCACTTGAACCTCTCTTCTCTTTTTTTTTTTTTTTTTACCTTCTCAAACCCTAGCCGCCTATGGAGCAATTTCCAGCCTCTGTTTTGTTTGTTTCCCAAGACTTAAAGCCATAATATATAGGTGGGCTTATTAACCTAATTTCTCAAAGTTACAAAATTACCCATCTAAGTAATAGAAAATATAATGACATCTCATAACTAATTCTTTGATATTAATAAATGACCCATATAAATTAATTTAATTACTAATCTATCCAATAAAATAATCCTACACACAACTTGGGTTTTGCAACACCTTTGCCCAAGCCTACATAAGGCCTATACACCCACTAGAGCCTTTTGTTTTCATGTCATCTTTGAGTCTCCAAGTGATCAAACATGAGAGAGAGGAAGAAAGGACACCAAGGGTAAGAATTGACATCAACATTTGTCATTGAGAGGATTTTGCTAGAATTGTAGACATTTGAAGAGAATTTGGGAGTTTCACCTCCAACCTTTGTGAATTCAAGTCTCTAGGTAAGGAATCAAACTCTTAATTGTGTAATTGAATTAGACTCTACAAAACTTCAAGTGAATTGGGTGAATTCATGAAGGAATTGAACTAGAATTGAGTTGAATTGAGCCATACCATGCATGCATGTTGATTTCTTCATAAATTAAGCATGATTTCAAAGGACTTCTCTCATGCATGTGTTCATTTCAATCATATTTTGAGAACTCATCATGTTTTCTACCAATTTGTCTAACTTGATCATGTTTTGAGAAGCTTGAGTTCAAAGAGATGCATGCATGTCATGTTTTTGAAACATTCATAAAGTTTAAGTTGAATTTGTGTACAATTGGCATAGTTTTGGGCTTTGATTTTATGAAATGGTCTTTAAATCATGATGTGTTGTGAGTTTCCAAGTATTTTCTAGAATTTTGGCCTAAAAGGATGAGTTTTGGAGTGTTGAATTCATGTTTTGAACTTTGAGAGCAAATCTGGAAAACCCAGAATTTTGCTTCCACGCTCGAGCAAAGGATCCCATGCTCGAGCGACCACCTTTATTTTCACACTTTCGCTCGAGCGACAAAAGGTTGGCCCGAGCATAAATTGCATGCTCTCAGAAATTTGCGTGTTTGGAAGCACGCTCGAGCGACAAGACTTGCGCTCGAGCGAGGATTTGTGTCTCACGCTCGAGTGAGCGTCGAGCGACTGTCGAGCGGAAATTTCATTCAACCAGAACTTTTTCACATTTTACAGACCGCTCAAGCGAAGGAGTGTGCTCTCGAGCGTCCACTCACATTCGGTATGCTCGCTTGAGCGAAGAAAGCTATGCTCGAGCGAGATCCCTGTTTTCAACAAGTTTTGAAAAATAGTTTTAAGTACATTTTTGCATCCTCATTCCATCCTAGGCATTCCTAGGCCATAATTAAGACATCATAATGAGGATAATGAGGTAGAACCACACCAACACAAGTAGAAAGGACTAAGTTATCAATTCCGAGTGTGTAATTTAGTATGCGTTCGTTCTGTAACTGTGTAGGGTTCGCACCTCAAGGAAGCTGAATAGCCTGCTTACAGCCCTGTTATCTGTGAGTAACAATGTTGTAAAGATAAGTTCAATCATATTTATTTTCAGATTGATAAATCATATAGCTTCCTGAAATGATACTTTTTATCGATTGAATAATGATCCTATTTTGAATTGTATTCATGGCATCCATTGCGTATTGTGATTGTTATTGCTATTGATATTGTTATTGTTACAGAGATCACTGTCAGTTCCAAATTTGGGAACTATTGTTATTGTATGATGGCCATCAATTGATTGTTCGGTCTTTTAAGACCAAGTGTATTGTTGCTATCGAATGTACCACGTATGACTTACATAGTTATCGATTGATTGAATTGATAAAATCGAGTGATAGTTGGACAAATGATACTAATTGAAAATGTTTTAATGCTAATCGACTGTTTTAAAAATTAAAGGACATCATTCTTAAACCCTTTACACAGTTGTTATTCACTGGGCTATAGCTCATAGTTTAATATATATATGTAGGTGGCCAAGCACCGGACCAAAGCTAGAGGCGCTGGCCCAAGCTCATGTTTTGTCAAGCTAGCCATTGTGCCTCATATCGAGGTTCCGCACGAGTTAAGGCTTCTTGGGTGGTACTATCAACCCTTTTGCTAAGTGTAATGAATGTCTAAGACTTTTGATTGTACAGTTTTCATGATGGGATTATGTCCCTATCTTGTATTTGCATTTTTGTTATAAGTGGTATATGAATATGGCTATGTGCATGAAAGTTTATTTCCATTCAGGTCTTCACAGCTCATTGGACGATGTAGGTTATTATTGATTGGTTTCCGCCAGCCCCTTTACATTGTATTATTGTCAGTATTGTTAAACAGGCCTTCGGTAATCACGGATTACTGGCCGGTTACGACACTAAACCTATAGGGGTGGGTTTGGGTCGTGACAAACATCCTTCTTTGCTAGTAATCTCTCAAGTATAGAAAAATAGTTGGTGTATTGGTGTATAAAAGAGTAGATGAGAGGAACTATTTATAGACCACTAGGACTTTACAAAATACACCAAAAAAATAATAATGACCATGATCCTAGAGAAAAAAAGAGTCTCCAAAAAATTAACTCACCACCAAGTCCATGAACCTAATTAATCTCCATTCATGAACAAGACAAAAGGTCAACAAAATAATGAATCTCCATTTATGAACAAGACGGGATTCATGAACAAGACAAAATAAGATTCATGAACAAAATATATAAATAAATAAATAAAAGATATTAAAATGGTCCAACAAACTCTTTGTATTGTGTTTATTTAGTCCAATTAATAATGCCCAGTAAAAATTAAACTGAAAATACTGTGCAAAATAGTGATTGAGGGTTTGACATCCTATTAGAAAGTGGTTCATTCCTTTTGAGAGAGTTAACATTTCTAATTTCTTAACGGATATGATTAATTTGACACAATATGAAAAATTAAGAAACAAAATTTATACAGTTATTATATGGATCAAATTCACACAAATATAGCTAATTGCCAAAACCATAGGCATAATTTATTTCTTTATCTTCTTTTATTTTTTATTTTTATTCTTATTTTTTTAGTTTATTTGGCTTGATATGCATTTGTTAACGCTACTTCTAATATGTGTGGTAATAATCAAATCTCTAGTCAAATTTTGATCCAAACACACAGCTTAAGCAAATCCATAACACAACTTAACCAAATCCCTAATCATATCCATGGACTTCACAAAATTCCTAAGGTGATATTACATGTTGATAATGACGTGTTATCATCTTATTACGCTTAATTTGTATTTTTGTTAGCTGTGAGGAATATCATTATTAAATCATCAATGCATTGTGCACATCAACATCATATTCACCACTCTGTATCTTGAGTAAGGGGTAGACTACTGTAATATAACCGTCACATAAAATGCCATCTCTATTCATTTCAAGCCACTCATTTTGATAGAATTTCCACAAAATTTCCAAAAGTCATTTTCTTTACTACTAACCAATTAAACACATTTAAAAGTAAGATTTGGACTGAATGTGATTGATGATGACACAATGTTGCGTTAGAGCCAAGTTATGACCTTGACCTGCATTATAGTCATAGATGCCCTCTTATATATCGTTGTCATTTCATTAAGACTGTAGAATTTTCCAACAGATCAGTTGGGCTTGGTGCAAGTTAGGGCCATATTAGCATATAGTTGCATAGGCAATTGGCATGGGTTTTGAGAATTTTCATCCTTTAGTTTTATTTATTTAATTTAATTTTTTTGGAAAAGTAACATTACAATAACTATCTATTTCTACGTGTTATTGTACCACCTAATATGTTAGTCTAGTTGTTAGTAATACATTGGAGATATACATGAGTGGTGGATCCAGTACACCAATATTATATTAACAAATAAGATGATAAGCATATAATATAGTTTAAAAATATGATTAGTGTAGCATTATTGTATTGTTAGTGAAGAATCTGTGGACCTACCTTCAGTGAGACCGGGGTAAATCCCAGATATGTACAATCACCCGCTAGCTTTGTATATCAAGCCAAAAAGACTCAAATTTAAGACCTCCTGATTGTTTACATGGGATCTTATCATTCAAGCTAACTTTCACAAGTTTGAGAATTTTTAATTTTAAAATTTACAACGAAACAGAACCAAGAATTTTTTTTTTTTTTTTGCGTGACCCTAAGTGTTATTTACCAAGAATAGAGAATAATTTTACAAAGGAATTGAGGGAAATCCAACATAAATTTGACTGGAAGTATCATCCAAGAAGTTGGTTAGATGAAATTGTCGGAATCTCTTGACTTGTCTACAAATGAGCTTTCTGGCTCGATTCCTACCAGCCTCACTAATCTAAACTTTCTCAGTGTGTTGAATTTGTCAATAACAGGTTGTCAAGAAAAATCCCAATAAGCACTCAATTGGAAAGCTTTGATCCTTTTGTGTACTTGGGAAACCCTGAACTTTGTGGGCTTCCACTTCCAAATAAGTGTCCGGGAGAAGAAATAACTGTGGAACATCCAATTCTTGTTCGTGGAAAAGACAAAAGGATTCAAGAATACGATGGCAAGATTATTACCACTGGATTTTATGTTAGTTTGGGGCTGGGTTTCATCCTTGGATTTTGGACAACTTTTGGCGCTATGATTTTTAACAAACCATCTAGACATGCTTATTTTGAGTTTTTGAACCGCATAAAGAATTGGTTTTATGTAACCACTGCACTGAGTATGGCTAGATTGCAAAGGAGGCTTTAAAGGTAAATGGTAAGTATCTTTTTTCAATTTTGTTACTTCTCTTTTTGTGTCTTGATCGTTGCTAACAAGTTAGACATTTTTTATTTTATTTTATTTTCTTAAAATCCTACATAAGTTGATTTAAGCACACACTTGCTATTTGCTTGAGCTTGTGGCAGTCTATTTTTTAATTATAATACACATTTGCAGGTCTATGTTGCAAGCAATCTTCAGCTCATTGGTCTCAATATCTATCTATTTGGTAACTTCTGTTGCCACCCTAATTTTTAACCAATTGCTTGACATCCACTATATGTTTAGTTGTCATTGATATAGAAAATGATCCAAAAATTAGCTTTAACTTTGCTATGTACAATTTTTTCTTTTTCTTCTAGAAGTCATTTACTCCTACTATAATTTTGCAACGCAAATATTGTAATAACAGTGATGATGATGTGCTCTGCCATTGCAAACCTAACAAAAGTACTAAAGTTGTGCCATATTTATGCAATGATACTGAATTGATCCCGTGTATAAACTATATTTACGGCTGGCCAATATTTAGTTGGCTTTAATTTAACTAATAATCACATTTTTTTATTTATTTAAATTTTCTATGTTTTCTAAGGATCTTAGAGAGACACGAGCCACTAGTTCGGGGCTATTAGCACCAACTACTGGGCCATCAATGTGTCTCTTGAAACGATGAAATAGCTTCATAAATATTTATATTCATGTGTAATTATATTGTGGATTGTGTGATTGAAAGGATTGCAATCTGTTTTTGCTATCAAACATTGTTTTATTACAAGTCTAGTAAACCTCATAAATATTTATTTTCATGGCTTTATGACTTTTTAGTTATATTAGACCGTTTCCAAATGCACAAGAAGAATTCGTTTTACTTTCAACAAATTAATTAAAAGAAAATGCTTGAAATTTGTTTTACCTTAGGGTTTTATGTTAGCATGTAACTTGGTTTCATCCTTGGATTTTGGGCAATTCTTGGCACTAAGCTTTTGAACAGTCCAACATGATAATGCCTATTTCAAGTTCTTAGACCTTCTAAAAAATTGATTTTATGTGACAACTGCATTGAATATAGCTAGACTACAAAGGAGGCTTTATAGAAAATCATTATAAAAAAAATTCAATTTTTTTACTTTTTTGCTTAAGTTCTTGGTTTTTCCTATAATACTTGTGCAGGTCATGTTGTGGAGCTGGCTTTGGCTTGTTGGTCTGAAGATCATCTGTATAGTAACTTCTATTGTCCCCATTCATGCGTATTCAATGTCTGGTTTTGTGATCAATTTTTGTGGTTGAACAAAACAATTGCTGAAAGTGATCATCAACCTTGTTTAGTCTTGTTTTTCTTTTTTGGTCTTTATTTTTTTATTGGGTTATAGTAAGGAAGTTGATTCAACAGAGGTGCAAGCTGTGAGTTAACAAACAAAAGATCTAAGTCGAGCTTTTGGCACTTCTTGTTCCTCGGGCAATCTATGTATTTTTGAAGGATTATAATATCAACTTGATAAATATTTGATGTGGAATTATTATTGATTCTATGTTTGGAAGGATTATGATCTTCTTTAGTGAACTTTCTATTTGTATAGTGGCTAGGTATGGCATTTATGCCGTTCAGATATAAACTTTTAAATGAAAGAAATATTGGAATATGTACTTATGAACAAAAAACAATTGTTATGATATATACAGTGGAACAAAATGTATATTGAATAATTTATTTTTATTTATAAATTTATATGTGAATATTTGACTTTTGTTTAAAAAATTATATTCAAATGATGCAGTTTGTATTGAGATTTCCTATTATATGAATATAATTTTTTTTCTTCATATATATATATGAAGTCTTTGTTCATTATACGGAAGATGGCCTCTTTTGGAGTTGTCTATGTTAGATTTATTTATTTTGATGATTTGTTTAATTATGTTTTAATTTATTTAGAAGAGAAAAATAGAATCAAAATTTCTTTTGACGATTTATTTGAAAGAGAAAAATATAATTAAAATTTATTTTTTCGCATTATTTCTCATCTAAACCTTTATCCTAAATGTTATTAGAATGTATTTAATGTTTGATTAAATCAAGAGTTCAAATAGTCCAAAAACAAAGGTTCAAACAGCCTAGCACAGCAGCAGTTCAAAAGGTTCAAGAGGAAGATATTCAATTTTGTAATGATGGAGTGAAAGATATTCAAATTAGTAATAATGGAGTACAACGGCTAAAGGTTCAAAAGGCCAAAAGGTTCAAAAGGTTCAAGTGAAAGATATTCAAATTTGTAATGATGGAGTGGAAGATATTCAAATTGGTAATGATAGAAGTATAACAACTATAAACGACTATAAATTCAAATGACTACAACGGCTATAAACGGCTAGAATTTTCATTATATATACCAAAGCCTCTAATGTAAACAAGTTACAAAAAACCTAAAAATATTCTTTGATCTATAATCACTCACGTCTATTTTCAGATATTAAACACTGAGCCTTATAGTTTTAAGCCCATCTTTCATGTGTGAGATTTACAGAAAAATCAAAACTTCATTTTATATATCTATCTTTGAAAGATATTTATTGTAAGCTTTCTTTTAAAGAAAAAATACCATTTCATCTTGTAAAAGTGTTGCAAACACTGTGTTCTTGAAATCTTGAGAGTGATTATGAATCACCTAAGATTTGCAACGGTTTGGGCTTGTGAAGTCTATGTAAAATCCGTGGAGAATTGCTCCATTTGTAAAGAGGTTGCTAGCACCCCTGTGAAGCTAGAAGATAGTGAAAAATCTCAAGTGAAGCTTGAGGAGTGGACGTAGGCCAAGTTGAAGCCGAACCACTATAAATTTGTTTTTGCCTCTCTCTCCCTTATCTCTTTATTTTATTTTAAATTGTGATAGCAATATTTTACATTTTTACTGTGCTAAAATCATTAACTGACATAGTTGTTAAGACACTTGTTTTAATTATTTTTATTTCATTAATTATATTTATCTATTGTGCTAGTCATAATTTTTATTAGGGTATTATTAATTTTAATTAAAAAAACCTAACTCACCCCCTCTTAGGTTATCTTTTGGGTAACAATTGGTATTAGAGCCTAGACTCTTGTTTTAGATTTAACCATATAGGAGTTTCAATCCATGGCAATCTTAGCTGAAGGACAAGCCACAAATAGGCCACCATTGTTTAATAGAAACAACTATAGTCATTGGAAGGATAAGATGACCCTATACCTACACGCCACTAATTATGCCATGTGGATTATTGTCACCAAAGGTCCAAAAATTCCTACCAAATTAGTAGAGAATATTAGTGTACTTAAAACTGAAGATGAATGTGATGAGAGAGATCATAAACTATTGCAAGCCAATGCTAAAGCAAAACTTGCCCTTGTTTGTGGATTCGACTCTAAGGAGTATAATTGAATTTCAAGTTGTGATTAGGCAAAAGAAATTTGGGACAAACTTGAGGCAACGTATGAAGGTACAAACCAAGTGAATGAATCTCGTATTGATATGATTGTTCATATTTATGAATTGTTTAAAATGAACTCTGATGAATCTATTATAAGTATGTTTACTAGATTTACTGAAACTGTAAACTCTTTGAAATCTCTTGGCAAAATTTATACTAATAGTGAGTTGGTAAGAAAAATTCTTAGGTGTCTACCAAAGAATTGGGAAGTAAAGGTCACCGCCATTATAGAAGCCAAAGATCTCTCCACACTTAGATTGGATGAGCTTATGGGTTCCCTTATGACGCATGAGATCACCATGAAAGGACATGAGGATGTTGAAGACAAAAAGAAAAGCGGAATTGCATTCAAAGCATCATCAAATGAAGAAGAACATGAAAACTTCAGTGAGGATGAAAGCTATGCCATGTTTAGTAGAAATCTCAAAAAGCACTTTAAGAAAAACAATTATGGAGAAAGAAGACCTTTCAAAAAGGAGTACCACAAAGATAACAAAAAAGAACCTATTATTTGCTATGAGTGCAAAAATCATGGACATATGAAGATGGATTGTCCAAAATTGAAAAAACATGGAAAAGACTACAAAAGAAACAAGAAGGCCATGGTAGCAGCTTGGGGAGAAAGTGAAGATGAAAGCTCAAGTGATGAAATTGAAAATGAAGTAGCCAACTTGTGTCTCATGGCTCTTGAAGATGAAGACTCTACTCAAGATGAGGTAACTACTCTTTATGAAGAACTTGAAAGTGCATTCCATGAACTAAAAGATGAATTTAGAAAAGTTTGTGTCAAAAATAATGTGTTAAAAAAATCTGTTGCATCTTTATCTAGTAATGTAGAAGAATTAAATAAAGAAAAAATTGTTTTGAAAAATGATTTTGACACCATCTCTAATGAGAAAACTACTTTAAAAAATAATGTCGATGATTTAACAAAAATACTTGAAAATTTTGTAAAAGGTAGAAATAATCTCAACATGCTTCTTGGAAATCAAAGATGTGTTTTCGATGAAGCGGGCATTGGATATGACCCTATTAAGAAACAAAAGGATCTCAATACAATTTTTGAAATGGCACCTCTCATGACACACCCTCATATTACTTGTCATTATTATAGAAAGAAAGGCCATTATATATCTTATTGTCCATTCAAAAAGAATATGAACATGGGAATTAAAAAGATTTGGATTATTAAGGGATCTAACAAAACTAACCAAGAAGGACCCAAGAAACTATGGGTATCAAAAACCAACACCTGATTGCCATCTTGTAGGTTTGCCTTAAGTCCAAAGCTAAAGAAGGGAAGTGGTACCTTGATAGTGGATGTTCCAGACACATGACCGGAGATAAATCCTTTTTTACTACACTGGCCTTGTTATTTTTGGAGACAACAAGAAAGGAAAAATCATTGGTATTGGTAGCATCGGTATTTCTCCTAACCCTTCTATTGAAAATGTTTTACTTGTTGATGGACTTAAGCATAACCTACTTAGTAGTAGTCAATTATGTGATAAAAGGTAATCGAGTTATTTTTGCTAAATCACATTGCACAATTGAAAGCACAAATAATCATAAAGCTTTATTCGTTGGTAATCGCCATAATAATATTTATGTTTTCATCTTAATGATCTCTATGCTAGTGATGTTAAATGTTTATATGTTAATAATGAAAATAGTTGGTTATGGCATAGAAGACTTGGTCATGCTCATATGGATTTAATTGCTTCCAAAAATTAAATTTGAAAAAGATCATCTTTGTGTTGCTTGTCAACAAGGAAAACAAACTAAAACATCATTTAAATCAAAATCTCATATTTCCACAACTAGACCTTTACAACTATTGCATATGGATTTATTTGGTCCCTCAAGGACATCTAGTCTAGGTGGTTATAGCGATCCCGATTTTCCCTTTCTGTATCTATTGTATTCTGGACTTTGGTTCCGTGGAGCTGGTGGTTGTATACCTTGTTGTCATCCTTTAATTCCCTATGTTCGAGTTTTAGGATGTGTTGGGTATGTTTCGATCAGGTGGGGTGAGCCTTGGTTTAAAATCTTGTTGCCAGGGTTTTGGTCGTTCCGCTCGAGCGGGCCTTATTGCGCTCGAGCGGATATTGCACACTCCCAGTGATTCGTGTCCCTGCAAAACTTCTGCAGGTGTGATTTCTACGCTCAAGCGGGTTTCCTGCACTCGAGCAGGTCGCTCTCGAGCGGGTTTGTTGGCGCTCGAGCGGGTAGTACTGTCTTGGTGAAAGTTCTGGGAGAGGGAGATTTGCGCTCGAGCGGACTGGTTTTCTCGCTCGAGCGGATGTACTTTATTCTTGTGTCGTGGCGCTCGAGCGGGTCTTCTTGCGCTCGAGTGGACCTAGCTTTTGTTCTTGACGCTCGAGCGTTGTGTTTTCCACTCGAGCGGGGATGTCGTATATCAGTTGGTTGTGGGGCACTTTTAAATCACTTTTTCTCATTCTTTCTCTCTCTTACTTTTCTGAAAAAGCCATTAGAGAGCACTTCACTCTAAAACTCAAACTTCTCTCTAAGTATTGATCTAGTATGAGTGGTTTCCTCACCTTTGGCCTCTGTAAAAGTCGGGTTGATCGTAAAAGTTGGGTTGATCGTCGAGGGCTACATTTTGATCCGAGTAACTTGTGATTTGAAGCAACTTCGTTTTCGTCATCTTCTTCATTGGGTGTCATCTTTTGAGGTAGGGATTCCTACTCACTCTTATGGTCTTTGACATAGATCTTTGGTTGTTTTGATAAAGTGTTGAAGTTAGGTAATGTTGGGACCTAGGGTTTCAAAATGTTAAAAGAGGGTTCTGTTATTTTGATTCTAAAATGTGTATTTTGAGTTTCAAAATAAGGGTATTGATGTTAGTTGTTGATATATGGACCATTAGGTTAATGTTGGAAAAAGGGGTAGAAAACCCTAATTTGTTGTATAAATTAATTGGTATAATTAATTTGGGAAATGTGTTGATATTTGGAATTGCATTGGAAATAATGAAATTGGCTCATTATATGTTAGAATAGTGGAGTTGGATTTGTTAATCGCTCTCTTTTGA